TTTTTTTTTTTTTTTTTTTTTTTTTTTTTTTTTTTTTTTTTTTTTTTTTTTTTTTTTTTTATCAACAGCTTGACGAAGAAGTGATTAACGGCTGTCGTCAGCACATGAAAAAAGTTTGTGGAGACTGTTTGGACAAGAGAAAGGATCACAACTATGAGGTGTGATGTTTGAATTTATTTTTCGATTACCTTAATTGTCAGCGGTAAATTATACTGACTTGATTTTACAGATCGTAATCGGAGATTGTTTTGAAACGTTGAAGAAAATGGCGGCAGAGAATCGCAAGGTAGACTACGTTTTTGGCGATCTAACGGAGATTCCGATCAGCAAAGAGCCACACGGAAACGAGTGGGACTTTATCAGGCTAATCTTGAAATCGTCCATAAAAATATTGAAGCCCACGGGAAAATTCATGACACACGTGAGTTTGCGATGGTAAAATTATCGGATTGACGATTGAACAACTCATTTTTATATTTTCCATAATTTTCAGGGGAATTCCGCCGCTCTACCGGAAGCGCTGAAGATGTACGAGGAGGAGTTGACCAAACTGTCTGTTACTTTTACGAAGAAAAGCGTGTTCATTCCGTCTTTTTACGAGGACTGGGTTTTCTATCAGATCTCCGTTTCTTCATAATGGCCTTCCACTGAAGGATATAGTTACTTTTACGCAATAAATTTTTGTTTTCGATGAAAAATATAACAAAGTTGAAACTTGCAGTTTTGTTGCAAATCCAGAGATTTATTTTTCGTTATGATTTTTATGTAAAAATTTTCTGTATTCTAATGTAATTTACTAATAATAATTATCACTATCAACGCAGTCTACAATAGTTGTTATTTTCATAAGATATAAACATACCTTTTATTTGTCTAATTATATTAATCAATTACTATGCCAAAGAAAGAAGTCGCAATAAAGTTCCTCATTTATTTACTACATGTTGAATAATCTAATAAAAAAGTCACTTATGGTGCTTCAGAATCGAACACTTTTACACACCATATTGTCGCAAAAAAAAATTATAAAATTCTCAGTTGCCTAGGCGTCATAAAGTAGCAAATCACGGCTAATATACCGAGTAACACCAAGCGGTAACTTGGAAATCAAGTGTTGTATCGCACGACTCGGTCGATAAGTCGAATTCACCCGTTATTTAGGTTCCTATTGATTCAATTTTTTTTTTTTTTTTTTAATGCGGAAATGATCAATGGTCTTTTTAAATATAAACTTTACTCCTTTCAGAAGATTCATTTAATGAATCCTATAAACAAGATGTAAATAAAATTTGTGTCTACAAATAAAATTAACAGTGAACTGTTAACGTATATTCAAAAGGCCTTCAATGGAAATTTTCATGAAATTGAATTACGAGTGCTCGGCGAAATCGTAAAATTTCCGAAGGTCTTTCGTGAAGTAAGTTTAAAAAAAAAACCCGTTGCGTAGTTGAACCGAGAATAATTTATCTACAGTCGTTTTGTCTAAGAATAGACTGCATGTGTGAAAGTTTGAGAAAATTTGCAACAGCAGTAGATTTGCGGCACACATTGTGTAGTGCCATCGTCAATTTTACAGCTCGCAAACGATGTCGCGTCGCGCACAAAAGCAAGATAGAGTGAAAAAGCTACATTGCACTTTAATTGTCAAAGTTAAGTGGGACGAGCTCGTCTTCTACGTTTCTTCGTAGGCAATTTCTACCCTCAAGTAATTGGATTAGTTTCGGGTTTTATTAATGCTCAAACAGATTGGATTTCAACTTGTATATTTAACAAGAAATCGGAGAAAACGTTTCAGACAGAGAAAAACGTTTGATTAAAATGCTACTAAACAAATGATTTTTCGTGCTTTTCTATACTCTGAATACGTTACGCTAAACTAACTTTCTCTTCGATGGATAAAACTTGATGAAGCCTAGAATATTATTAGTTCTTGGTTACAGGTATACATTAATGTATGCGCGTATGAACTTTGAGTCGTGACCTAAAACGCTCGTCCTGCTCCTATACTACTACAACTACATGTAATACTACTCCTGTGTATAAGTTTGTCCTATGCGTAAGCCGTGCATTAATGCACTTGCGCGTTACACACGTATACTTTATGTGACATAAGTGATATATTAATGTTGGCATAAAGTATTCGCATTGTATATAAAATAGCAACGAACGTAGAAGCTCACACAACAGCGGCAGCAATCGTAGTAATTGATTTTCCATAAATTATCACTCGCCCTAGTAAAGACGAAAATACATCACGTAGGACCTAGTAGGGAACTTTTTATAATAAAGGGACTCTTTCAGGTAACAAAATTTGGTTTTTCAATAAAGTTTTTCTCATAACTTTATTTAAAGCTTTGAATACATTTCAATTAGTTTGAACATTGCTACGCACACTACACACACGATTTTCAATGATTAATTAGTTCAAGCTGACACTCTATAGGCGACAAGTGATAACACACGATCAAAAAATTACAAGAGATAGAACATAGAGTTTTAACTACCCAACATTAGACACAAATTTTGGCATATCCTTCAGAAAGACTTATACTGCTAGGTATACACACTTGGTCTGAAATCGTAAAGCATTTTGGTTTACTTATGCAAGAAAATTCTATTTTCAAACAAAGTTCATGATACATTTTTAAAATACATCGATCCCGACGAAAATACATGCCGTTCAGAGTGACTCACTGCGAGCGAATCTAAATTGAACAGCCTCAACCGCGATCGATAAAAACTTAATTCAACTGATGTTAAAGAGTACAGTAAAGATACACAAGTTTTTTAACACGTTTTATCTAAAAAAGTACTCGACATCAGTGATCATCAACACTAATAACAAACTCCAATACACCTTAGCGACATTCAACCCTTAGCAATTTTAGCTCCTTTTTGTAATTTTTTTTTTACATAAAAAACTAGGCTTATAGAGTTGCATGGTTGAAAAGTTAAAATTGTTTTTGTTTGTAAATACATAAATAAATAAATAAATAAATAATAAATAAATGNAAGAATAGGGATGAGATCCTACAATGTTAATTATTTTATATAGAGTATTGAGGAATTCTTCAACATATGGAACAGAAAAATACAAGGAATCCGTAAAACGTTAATCACTTTTGTTCTATCCATTTTTCACTAATATAAGTATTAGAGATTATCATATACGTAATCATATTTTTTTTTTGTTATTCTCGATTTAATTAACTGTGCCTTTTTAGCTTCGTGATCGTTGTAGGAGCTACAAATTTTTACTTGTATGTTATAAATTTTTCATAGTGTCAATGAGTTGTTACCTTGTTTGTTTCTTTCTCTTTTCAAGGGAATTTCGAAAAAAAAAATTATAAAAAAAATAGTAAAGTCCACGTTCTAATTTTTGTGTGTACTAAGTAGGCTGTGTTTTTTATAATATTAATTTTTTTGGCTATTTTTGCCAGTCAAGCATTAGTGATTCGAATTTCATCGATACCCAAATTAAAAATAAAATACAGTTTCAGGTAATTATGTAAAATCTAAGTTTGCATAAATTAACAGATTAACTATCAAATCCCTTGATAGAAGAACGTCACTTAAACATTGTATTACAAGCTCTTGCTGCACTAAGACACTTTTCAAGTGCTGAAGCTACAAGAATTGTTGACAATGTTCATGCTGTGTCTATGATTTTGTTTTTGTCTTAATTTACCCATTTGATGAGACCTAACGATTTCGCGCTCAGACGTTCGATGTACATTATATAATATATTATTATTTTTAATTATTTCAAAAATCAAAGTCAAAGGCACCTGTGTTATTTTTTCTTTACGGATAGATGTGAATTATTTAACATGTGCTGTTTGCGGCGCTTTCTTTGCTCAATATACCTAATGTGCTCGATTAACTAAGTGATGTTTCTTTTTATGCGTCAAGATTTCTTTTGTTCTAATTTTCTTTTTAGTCATTGGTTAGGCTATCATGCAATCCGGAACTTTTACTCACGATCCCGTAAATCCTCCTAGCAAAAAGTGAGAAAAAAAACTATTGTCATTTTTTTCAAGCACAAGTGTGCCTTAAAAAAGTATTAATAAGCCACTGTACAAAATTACCAAAAACACGTACAAAAATTACCAGCGACTCCAAATTACAAAGTTAAAAGCGTGATTTTCTTTGAAAAATATTGCTCACTTATTAATATTACTAAATCATCAGCGATCATGGAATTTAGGTTAATGAAATGTTTTAAAATTATTGTACACTCACAGAAATGACAAGTAGGTACCTACTTAACAAAGTAACAATCGCCAAGCAATACTATGTACTCATTTTCTTTTTCCAATGTTGAATGTTAAGTAAATGGTTGCGTATTATTTTGTGCTTTTTAGCTTAAACAGATCACACATGTATGCATCAAGGTGTTATTACAAGGACATTCACTCATCCATTCATGCTTTAATTATTGAAAAACAAAATAATAATAATAAATAACAATAAGTCACACACGCACTTTAAACACTCTCAATGATGTTTTCCTCCCGTTTGTTCTTGATATACTTCAATTACATCGTCGTTTTCCATCTCCAGACTGAAAAAACAAAAACAAAATAATAATAATAATGATAATGATAAATATTAGGCAAATAGTTAACGTTAAACTGTTCTCAATTTTAGGCATAACTATGGTGGCTCACACTGTGCTGCTCGACTTTACCGTTCCTGCCAATCAAATTAAGGATACTGAAAAGAGGACCAACCTCAAGTCAAATATCACCAATGTGCTCAAGGAGCACTTTAATGGGCTCAAATATCTCAATGAACATTTCGTCGACGAGGGTTTGCTGGTGCTATTTACCGGACCAAGGAATAGTCTCATCACTGTCAGAGGTTATTCCGAGGGTCTGGTCACTGTTAATATTGAATACTTCATGCAGGAAGGAGATGACGCCCTTCTGTCATACGACGTATGTATTGCCCCAAATTTGAACCGATACCAAAATCTAGACTTGGTTTTTCAAAAACTATTACAAGGATTAAATCACTTATTATCCGAGTTTTTAAAAAATTAGCTTACAAATTCTTAATTTGTATGGTGTTTGTTAGGTGATCTGCTACTGAAATTCATTTTTGTATCTTCAACTAGATGTGCATACTCATGTATTTTCAGAAAAATTAAGACAACGTAGTTTACATTTATAAGATAGCTGATGTCGTTTAACGTAGATATCAGTGCTTTTATTGATTGTGTGTTAAACAATTGGAAATACATTTAATTATAAAATTAAATTCAAAACATGTCAAAGTGCGAATCTCCCGGTGACGAACTTTACCTCCAATTCAACTCAAATCACTTTTACCTTGCATGATGGATTTTTTCTTCATTTTTTAATAAATATAATAATGAATTACAGTAATCATTCACCTATGCAGTTTGTGTAGAGAATAAGTCTGGCATAAATATTTTTATTATTTTTTAAAACCCTTGTCTCTGATAATTCAAACATTACATTGGGATCTGACAAGGCTTTAAGTGTGGTGTTGTGCTGGAACAGTTATATTTGGACAAAATTTTTTTTTTATTGTAGATTTGTTATGAATTCTATGAATAATTAGTATATACAACTATCCCGAAAACAATAATTTTACACGAAGCTCGAGTTTAGATTTTTCAAGATAAAGATATGTGTAAATTAAAGAGGCTCTGTAATAAGATATATATTAAAAGTCTAGTTATCATGTTTGATTAATTAGTACTCAACCTATGCCGCGTAAAAAAAGTTTATAAAAATTTAAGAATATTTCTCAGGTGATCTACTCTAGCAGAACATTATTATATTCGAAATAATATTTGTATTTATGGAGAAAAAAGTCTAACCTAAAAAAATGATGGCTGTGATCAAAAGAAGTCTGTTACGAATTTTTAACAACCTAAATTTGTTAATATGGTATTATTCCTTGATATCTTGAGGATGCGTGGATGAGTTATCAAAGCCCAAAATTTAATGAAAAAAATTAAAGTAGGTTTTCGAAAACCGTAAAATCTCGAGTGCAACAATTCGTCATGGTACAATTTCAAAATTTCAAGCCACATTTTTAATTTATAATACTCCAGTAGCGATTTTTAAAAACGGTATGTTCACTTATAAGTTGTGATTCTAATTCACTAGTATTATAGTTTTTTTGTAATATTCAACATTATTTACATTAGAAATTGTTTGTTTAGAATTGAATGGATACAAATTCTAGTACTTTAATTCGTTGGTTAAATTTAGGTACAACTAAATTGCAGCTTACAAAAATATCCTGTATCAGTCGTTTACCTCCGGTCCGTAGTGGGGGTCGAGCCAATGTCAAATCCCAATGAATATGGGGTAATTAAGAAAAATCCACTCTAACAAAGAAAACATTATAGCAATGGCGTTATTTGGAAGCCGATGTTGCCATAGCTTTGAACAGCCAGCGCAGCAAACGTTTGCCACCTGTAAGACGAGGGACCATATATGATCTCTATCTGACTCTCTCAGGTAGAAAATGTTTTGTCAAGAACAAACTTTCTCATTTTACACTCAAATCAATCATTACAACCGATTATTGTTAGAGATTTTGAATTCCTACCATTTTTCTAGACAACTAATTATCATGTGCCCCTACTTCATACATTATTAACCCTCAGTTGCATAGTTTTTTGAGATTTATTTCCCATTTTTCCTTGTATATTTTCCTGATTTAATAACAAATTTTAAACTGTTCATCAAGACAAAACTCATCGCCGATTTCAAAATTTTGCAGTTTTGGCTAATCATCAATAAATTAATGATTTAGGGTTTTATTTTTGCTAATACTATTGATATACCTTCAAGTAATTTTACTGCAAATACCTTATTAAGCATTTGAGGGTTAATTTTAATAGTTTAAATTATAATGTATCGCTTGTATACGAATGCAAAATTAGTCAATACATATTGTATCCTAGCACCAACGTTTATACATTCAACTTTTAACTATTTACTGTTTAAAATTTGTAGCACTTTATTTTAATATATATATTATAAGAACGGCGTATAGTGCATGTAGCACTTTACCAGACATTTTTATAATCATACTTTTTTCGTTTGTTAATAGAGATATTTAATATTCATTACATTTAAATAAGAGTTAGTATCAAAGTACTTTCATCTCATTTTTAACCATGCTTTTTTTCAACGATCTGTATAGTTATAGAAATACAAAAGCCATCGCATAATGTTGAAGTTTCGAAAAATTTCAGTTGATTTAAATAAGTATCAGTTTTCTAAATATTAATAGATACAGTTACTAAAATTAGCGAGAAATACAAAAAATACTTTAACGAGTTGAATTTTTTAGATACTTAATTAAAATAACAAAATTCAATATATCACTTTAAAAATAGCTTCTACGATGTATTGATCTAATCTGAACAATAAGATTATAAATTAGTTCATGTCAAAAATTAGCTTGCATTTCAAATGCATTTCAAAATTTATCACGTATTTTGTGTAACGAAATCAAATTACTTGGCAGATTCAATATTCATATCCAAGCACTACATTTTTTTAGAGTCACTTAAATAAATTCAGAGATAGAAAGTGACTCACCACGTGATTTAAATTTCAGACGGTTGTTAAATAACAATTTTTTGTAATTTATACAAAGTCTTGCCTATCAATTGTTTATTTAAACTATTTTAAAATACCATTATTGTATTGTATACGGAAAAAATTACATAACAATATTAATACGGGAAAAAGGTTTGCTCATAACATTGTTAATAACAATATAAATGCTGAATTAATTTACTTATAACTTTTTAACTTTTACTTCATGCAAATATTTTTCTTTTTCTTTTTTTTTTAAAGACAACTTCCCTTGCAAATGTTATTTTCATTTTATACCTCTAGTTGTTGACATGTTTTGCATTTACACGATTTTAAAATGTTAATTTTATTGTCTTTTCAAATATTAGTTTGAAAAAAAAATCCTGTATTATTAATTGGTTATTAGTATAATTTTTGTTAACGGTTTAAAAAAAGCAAGCATAAGTCTGAAATAAAACGTATATTCTGTTGATAAATTTTAATAAAAAATCAAGCATGTAAAAAATGCAATTACTATATGAAAAATTTAAGTACCAAGTAAAAGTATCACAAATGTCTTATTGGTTCGCTCAATGATTTTGTATGGTAGTCGTTCAAAGACTTGGAGATGGCTATGCAAGAAGCTACAGCAGCCACTCGAGCACACACGATAATGCCCATAAAACGCGGTGGTCCATTTGACAGATACTTTCCTACCGCTGGTGAGTTCTTTTTGTTTTATATTATGTTTCGGGATTAAACACTAAAATACCACTCACTCAGGAACGTTATTAATACTTAATTTTATGATTACATAATTTCTGGTGTCTAAAATGTAATTAATAAAATACTTTACTAAGCTGATGCTCGCACGTAGATATATTTAACAGTACTTATGAGATGGTCATCGATGATAACAATAATTTTTATTTCACTATTTTTTATACATATCTGTATGTTTAAAAAATAAAATGAATCGTTATTTTTTTTTTTTTTTTTTGGCAAAGTACATCACACATTTCTTTTTG